AGACAATTGTTCCTATGGCCATTTTTCGCATGATGAATGCACTTGCAGAGGCTAGCCCAACACCATTTTTGAAGATCACGCCCCTTTCCCCTGTCTTCGGCAAGACTCCGAACTGAAAAGGGGGGGGGAGCCTTTTTCCATTCGGAGCCTTCCCAAAGGCAGGGGGAAAGGGTGCAATCTTCAAAAATGGTGCTGGACAAGCCTCTGCAAGCGCTGCTTGGAGGGACCCTGGCGCTTCCCTTGCACCATCAGAAGACTTGCGGCGGGCCCCTCCGAACGGCGAGCGGCGCTTGCAGAGGGGTTCCCCCTGCCTTCAGTAAGGCTCCGAATGGAAAAAGGCTTTTTTTTTTTTTTTTCCCATTCAGAGTCTTACCGAAGGCAGGGGAAAGGGGCGCAATCTTCAAAAATGGTGCTTGGCTAGCTTCTGCAAGCGCCGCTCGGAGGGACCCCCACCAGTCTTCCGATGGTGCAGGGGAAGCCCTGGGGGACCTCCTAAGGCAGTGTTCCGGGCGAGGCCCCCCCCACCAGTCCCCTGATGGTGCTTCTCCAGCTCCCTAACTGGTATGTGACTTTTTTTAAAAAAAAAATCCCATAGGAACGCATTAATTAAAATTCAATGCATTCCTAAGGGAAACCACAACTCGCAAGATGAAAATATTGCAAGGCAACATTAACCCCGGAACGGATTAATTTCATTTTGCGAGGCACCACTGTATTTTAGTAAAATATGCTAAGAAATTGGGGCTGCCTTTTTATTGTAAGGATTGATGAATTACATTCTGGATAGAAGACCAAGTTACACTTTCTAACGACTGGCCATCTAGAAGATACTGAACAAAAATTATTTAGATTAATGGTGCTTGTGGGTTTTTCGGGAATTTAAATTAACTTCACATTTATGGTTGCTGCTTTAATAGTTAGACTGTTGTTACTAGTTACAGAGACAGGCACAGTAGACTTTTGAAACTTTCTATTGAATTCATTTGTGTAGTGATAAGCATAGTGTGCATTTAATTGATGTCAGCAGGTCAGATTTCCAGCTATGGTAAGAGCTTACCAGAAACTTCCAGTCATTGGTACTGTTCTGATGAATCAGTTTATCCAGGCCATATCCTTGTCTGGTTGTATAGACTGATGCAATTTTCTTCGCCAGGGATAACCTTGTCTTTAAAGTAAGGTGCTATCATGCATGAATGCTGTACGTCTAGACTCACATGGTTTGCTTTTATGTATACCACATATTGCCATTTTATAGCAAAGGATAGGAAATGACATAATCAGAAGGATGAACTTAAGTCAAAAGTACTCTGGAAGGATGTAAATGCTGGTGTTATCTGGTGCTGAGAAATGGGGTAGAGAAAATGTAGTGGCTACTGAATGTTTTTTTAAAAATCTAAGTTGAGAATTGCTGACAAAGATATTTAAAACATCCAAGGCCTAATTGTATGTAAATAGAGGTGAAGGATATACCTCATCGTTTCATATTAATGTGTTAAAAACCCTTTCCCTAAAACCTCGGTTCTTAACGGTGCAAATGACCTTCTATACGTGGGCATGGTGACAGCATTTCTCCAAATTTTCTATCATGTTTCCTTCAGAAATTTGTGTCTTTAGCTTTCCATTCCTTTAGGAGCCTGTATACCAGCCTCATCTTGATTTGACTTATTCATCCTGCCTCCTGGGTTCCCTGTCTCATGTTATCCCTTATCCTTGGTGTTCCTCTCAGTCTACCACTCTTGCTCTGCCCTGCCACAATAACGTACATGGACAGGCATGTTCACAGGCTTTGGACCAAGATTTTCCCAACCAAAGTGAATTTTCAGTTATTTCACAGAAATTGCACTGTAGTTTCTGACCCTTGCCATTTGGCAGCTTGAATTTAGGTAGCTATTATTTGGTCATCAAGTAGTACCTAATTTAGGATAAACGTGGATGGTAAACATGTGGATCGTAATCTGTGTGTTCCTATGTATTAGTTATATCTGATGTTAGGTTTGGTCTGCTTATTGGTCTTAAGGGGATTGCTTCTATATATTTGAATTGGGGTAGATTATTGATTGATTGATTGATTGATTTGATTGATTGATTTGATTGATTGATTGATTGATTGATTGATTGATTGATTGATTGATTGATTGATTGATTGATTGATTGATCCCCCGCCTATCCTGACTACCAGTCCACTCTAAGCGGCTATAAGATTACTTATAAAGGTTCCACAATGAATTTGAATAGATCTTTGATTTACAGTCAGCATGAGTTACTGGATTTTTACCGTTAATTAAGTTGGCTAACACTGTGGTTTGAACAGCAGCATGAAACAGAAAGTGCCATTTTTCAGTTTTAAAGCAGATTTATTGAGCAACATAGTATGCTGGATTGCTCAGTCGTTTAGGTATCTGGCTGCTGAACCAAAGGTTGAGAATTCAATTCCCCACTGTGCCACCCTGACAGGGGCTGTACTTGATGGTCCATAGATGGCTTCTGAAGTTCTGTGATGATGATTTGAAGGACTACTTTTGGTTACATGCTGCTGAATTTATTTTTAATTTATGGTGATCCTGTAGAATTAATGCATGCTATCATGCTCTGATCAGGTCTTGTGAACAAAATACTGTGGTCTCCTTTATTCAATCACTCCATCTCATGTTTGAGCTTCCTTCTACTATTATTAGCTTTTTCAGTGAGCCTTTCCTCCTTATGAGATGTCCAGAGTACAGTAGACTACAGTGGTGCCTCACAAGACGAATGCCCCGTTTAACGACAAAATCGCATCGTGACAAACTTTTTGCGATCGCTTTAAGATGTTTTAAATGGTTTTTTTTCGCTTTGCGATGATCGGTTCCCTGCTTCGGGAACCGATTCTCGCAAAACGACGATTTTCGGCCAGCTGATCAGTGGTTCCAAAATGGCCGCTGGGTAAAAAAAATAGCTCCCCGCTCTTTTCTGGGACGGATTCCTCGCTGCACAGGCAGTGAAAATGGCCGCGCTATGGAGGATTTTCGCTGAACGGTGAGTTTCAAGCCCATAGGAACGCATTAATTGGGTTTTAATGTGATTCTATGGTCTTTATTTCGCATTACGACGTTTTTGTTCTACAGCGATTTCGCTGGAACAAATTAACGTTGTAATGTGAGGCCCCACTGTAGTTTAATAATTTAAGTATCTAATGCGAGTTTAGGTTTGATTGCTCTATAGCTGTAAATTTTAATCTGCAAATTCATTGGCCTTCCTGGAAATTCATGGTGGCTCTTCTCCAACATCACATTTGAATGTTTTTTTTTAAACTGTTAGCTTTTTTTATGTCCTGCTTTTCATATCTGTATGTAGCAGTTAGGAACACCATTGTGGGGATGACCTTGCCCTTGCCGATCAGCATTCCCTTCCAGCTCTGCAGTTCTGTGGTGGTGGTGGTGATGATGATGATTGATAGGGAGACACAATATATACTTGTTTGACATTTTTAGAAACTACAGTGGGGTCTTGACTTAAGAACGGCTTGAGTTAAGAACATTTTGACTTAAGAACCACTCTCATAGGAAAATATTGACTTGACTTAAGTACTTAGATTTGAGTTAAGAACTGAAAAAAACCCACGTGGGAGGCAGGGAAAGTGCAAAATTTGAACTTTCAGTTAACTGTTGGCCAGTGAAAAGGGTGCCTGTCTGCTTCCTCACGCCTCCCAGCATTTAGAGAATGGATTGGGAGACAGTCTTCAGACTGCCTGGTACTTGTACTGCCTGGACTGTATTTTCCCTGCCTTCCCTGAACCTTTCTTGACCTAAGTAAAAAAGAAACAAAATATCCCCCTCTAGTGGTCGAAGGCAGAATAGCAGCGTCCCAGTAGTTTCTATGGACGGAAAAGAGCAGATACGGATCAAATGGTTTTCAATACATTCCTATGGGAAATGCAGATTTGACCTGCGAACTTTTTGACTTGAGAACCGCCTTCCAATACGGATTAAGTTCTCAAGTCAAGACCCCACTGTATTCCGTTCCTCCATTTTCAGTACTAACTGCATCTTGTCCAGGGGTGCATATTATACATTAGGACACTCAAATGTTGTGGCACCCACGTTTCTTTTAGAATGATTCATAACTTTTCATTATCCACATAATTGAAGACCTGTAAAGCAGAAGTCAGTTCTCTTCTGAAAACTTTTTCTTTCTTTCTTTCTTACTTACTTTCTTACTTACTTACTTACTTACTTACTTACTTACTTACTTACTTACTTACATTTCTCTACACACTTGATTAGCTCTGCACTGTAGTTTCCTTTTGGAAATAATTCTGTAAAATGACAGCCTTTTTCTTATATATGCAGCACTCTTACTAGGGAGTAAATATGAATGAAGCTTGTTGGTCTTATTTCTGAGTAGTAGTGTACTTTTAGCTACAAAAATGCTTAATTTTAATATATTACTGTGTACTACACATTTTAGCTGATCTGGTTTGGATAATCAGCAAAACTGAGATAAGATATTCTTGTTCATTCTGGGAGCCACATGATAATGTAAGATAATAGAAAGCATGACAAAAGACCATTTAGATTATTCTGGGAATGACTAGTTTAAGTTCTTACTCCAGTGTTTGAAACTTGTCAAATGCAGAACTGTTTAAATTTAACAGAGTAAAAGAAAAATGGTTATTCAACAAACATCGTTTAATAGTTGGCAGCCCTAAACAAGAATGGTGACTCTATACATACTTAATAGTATTTGTTGTGTATGTTAGAATACAACTGTTGATCTTTCATTAAGATAAGTGATTGATAGTTTGTGTTAAGAAAAATGGATTTTAGCATGTTTAAATCGAATACACTTTCTGGAGGGCTGCTGTCAGATGATAAACTCAACCAAGCAGCACTAAGTTTGGAAATAAATCATTACATTGCATTCTGTAATGCTTTACCTAAAGAAGGCCATAAATGCTTTTGAAAATCTCCCCCACTCAAGTGGCTGTTGGATTCCTAATATCAGAATTTTTGTTTGCTTTCCAGGTTTTTGAGCATGAAGAAGAGAAGAAACGAAGCAGAGCAGAATGGAGCAGGATGCATCACTCCCCAAATTCTAGGAATTTTAGTTCATAAACACACTTGCCAGTGGGTGTGGACAACCATCTACTTGATGTAAAGACTTAATTTCAGTATAAACTGGCTCTGGGCAGCACCATTGATGCTGCACCGTTGAGTTGTAGCAGCTGTAATTGTGAATATTACTGAGATAGTTGAACATGGTTGTCCAGTTTTCTATTGCATTTTTCAAGTGGAAAAGTTAACTGAGTGGTTGACACACAAGTGGTGGAAAGAATTGTGCATATGCCAATTTTTGTAACCTTTTTACTTTGAACTACACTGCTTATGAGATCTCATTGTTTTGGAAGAATGGCATGAGCAAGTCTTCAGGAACAGTTGTGATAATTGTAAATGCTCACAATTGTGCACTCCTTCTGGGTATTCCTCCCTGGTTCTCAAAGTTGTACACTTAAAACATTCTAAAATTGCTGGTGTCTGAGTGACATAAGAAGCCAGCTGACATGGTAGTAACCAAAGATTCCAGTTGTTAAGCATATGAAAGACTCTGCCTGCTTACCCTGTGCTAGAAGTAACAGCGTCTAAAGTGAAGACTTAAGAGAAACTTAGCGACTACTAGATTATATTTAGGACTCTGCATTAACTCTGTAATGTTCTTGGTATAAAAGGAGAAACAGCATATTTGTCACAAATTTAGTTAACATCTTACAACTGAAACTGTATGTAAGTTGCTTAGATAAATGTAATCACTGTAAACATCTATATGATCTGGGATTTTGTTTTTATTTTGGAACAGGAGCTTTTTTGTTTACAAGTTCATTAAAAACTAAACTGTTTCTGTAAGGAAATGAGATTTTTTTAATTTGCTTTGATAATTTGCAATCTAAATTAGACACCACCCTTTTTTAAAAAAAATAGGCAACTACAAGGCCATTTGTTAAAGCAAAAGTCCTATTTCTTAATCATTTTAGGTCTAGTGTTGTAGCTCTTCCTCACTTTTGTTTTTAAATAAATTTTGTATTTTTTTTTCTTGATGGGAAGGGGCACTCTTGCATTTTTATAATCTGTTGCATTGATACCCAGCTTGCTATCAGAAGAGATGGAACAAAAATAAAGGCATCTTTTCAGATCTATCACAGCACCTCACAGGGCTTGCCGTTGTGTTACGTTGGCTGAACTAATTTGCAGATTCAAAATGGAAGTTGTGGAGGGCTTTAAAAGGAGGAATTTTATTTCAAGTTCTTGTGAAGCAGATGTGATCAGATTTACTTTTGTTCTCAGGCAGCCTTTCAGTGTGCAGTGTTCACATTGGTTTACTGGTTGCTGCCTTAGGCTATCCTTCTCACTTTAATCCAGCTGAAAGATATTCTTACTGCTGGCAAATTCATCTAACAGTGTAACTTATTCCTTTATAGCATGTCAGAATAAATTTTAAGTCTGAAAATGCTGCCAGATGCCTATTGTGTACATGGTTTTTATGACTTCTAGACCTTGTCTGTGTATATTAGAGGTATGGGTTGCAATGCATACTTTTCTGTGGGACATTGAATATCTCCAGCAGCTCTCCCCCCCAATAAAATGTATAGTTAATTATATTGTGGCAAAGCAATGCGGTTATCTGGAGAACATGTTCAATACATGGGATATGCCTGTAAGAACCATTCCAGGGAGTCTTATTTGCAAATGCTCTTTGTTGAAAATTAGCTGAGATTTCAGTATTGCCAAACATCGAGATTTTGTATCTCCAAGAAGGTAATTTTTACTTTTGTTTGATAATTTCAACTAGACAAATGCACTATACTTTTTGAAGAATGGGTAGTTCAGATATCATGGGTACCTTATTGTATACTCAGTTGTTGCAATACAGTTCAGTCACACTAGTGAAAGATGGTCAACAGGAAGAATATATAATAGTGTTTAGGAGCAAGAAAAAATCTTTAATCATCAAAAATATTCTAGCTCAGGCAGACCTTTGTGCATTTTGACAAGTTCCTACTTCAGAGTGAATCTGCTTGCCTCTTATGATCCTAACTGATACAAGGTGCCAGATGGAAGTACACAGAGAAGTAATACCAGCAAAATGGTTACTGTTAGTGTTTTTGTTATTACTCTTATTACTGCATTCTTTAAGTTTGCAAAACAGTTTTAGAAGTAATCAAGTCAGTTGACATTCAAGTTGGATTTTGACAGCTGCTGGATTAAAGGAAACAATCTATTAGAATCTTAATCTATTAGTTTAACTTTCACAGATTTGAATTAGCACATATGTGTATGTTAAAAGCAGTTGGAACAAAAACTTTCAAGAAGATGCCTTCTAAAATGAGGCTTTTTGAGACACACATTTATGTTGTAGCAGGCAACCTCTTACTAATTCCCTTTGCTGCCTTGAGAAGTGTGAATGCTGTCTGCAGTTTCATAAGGAATAACTAATTTAAAATGGCCTGCTAATTAGAGGTCACATATTTAGGGGGCCTACAGATTTTTAGTCCATTAATCAACTGACCTAATTGACCAAATGTTGCAACTTTTCTTTTTAACTCTTGTCTGTTTCACCAAGTATGCTGAACAATGAAGTGTACAAATAAAACTCTTGACTCAAAGAGCCTCGTACTGGTAATCTAATTGCTATCAAGCAAATTATTGTGTGTAACAAAGGTCAGCAATTATTGAATGCTGAATTAAACTTCCAAAACCTGAAGGGTGGATACTAATTAGAATTGTGTGACCAGAGTTTAAGAAGACCTGGCATAATGGCATAGATAGTAGAAATTTGAGCTGTAGTCTTTCCAAACTACACTTCCAGTGGAACACCAAGCTTAGAGGTTATCTTCCAGTAAACAGCATCAGCATATAAAACTGCCTCTTTGCAGTTTTGTGGATCTATTTCCATAATTTTAGGATTGATTGCCACACAGGAGTTCATTGTTTGAGGATTCTAGTATTACAACCTTTATTTGTATGTATAAGTGTTTATCTTAATTGTTCCTTTGGTTTTTTTTATAAAAGCCCCCACCCCAAAGATCCCCCAGTTGCATGAGTATTGAATGAGTGGTGATGATGAGAATTATCTTGTTAATTGGAGAATGTTTAACCCTAGCAGATTATGTTGAAGCTGAGAAGTAGTTATAGAGCTTAACTGCAGAGTTTAGCTCTGCATTGAGGCCTTGGGTAAGGTAAGCGGCAAAGCTACACTATTGCTTCACTTGCAAAATATCTTTTTTTAATCTCCTCTTGAGTAGTATGGGACTTCTCAGTATTTTCCTTCACGAAGATTTGTACCAATATTGCCAAAGCCTACTTTAAACTAGCTATTCTCCCATTTTTATAAGGCTTGTTAAAAGGTGTTCAGTGTGGAAGGCACTGTCACTCTCAAATAGGCCTTCTCAGTCACACTAGATGCTGTTCCAAGTCCTCTATTCAGAGCACATTATCATATTCTCTCGAGACTGAAGCATGCCTAGTCTATAAAAGGCTTGTGGCACTTAGGACTTCATTAATAGTGTTATATTTCTTGATTTATAATTGGCAAATAGTTACTTTTACGGAGAGGATCAGGAGGATAGTCAGAACCACCTACTTCTCAATTATGTGTATTTTTGCCAGTTTGGTGTTTTGACAAAAAAAATAACAAGAAAGCATGGGGAAATGTGTTCTTGACAGAATTCAAGACTCGGCATTGGGACTCATTTTGTTGTGAAATCGGACGATCTTCTCTGGTCGTAATTGATTCAAAGAAGCGCTTTCAGACTCATTTTCCTGTTAACTCAGTCCTCCCGCTTAAAAGGCCAGCATCACTGCCATTTTCTGATTTCAAGGTGTGCAAAGCCAGTGCTTTCTGATGGAAACATTTAGAAATGCTTCAGGAAGTCAATGACATTATTGCAAAATTCAGTGAGTGCGCCATAACTGCACTTCTCTTGCACTTCTTGCTTTAACTGTTGCCTGGCTTAAAACAGGAATGGGAACACATTATTGACCCAGTGATCATGCCCTGGAAGCCTGAATTTTTAAAAACTGGTGTATGGTTTATCCACCTCTTATATTTCCTCTGTCAAAACATTCATCTGTTGTACTTCCCATGAGTGATGCAAACTGGATGATTGGTTACCCTTCAGAAGTGGGTTGGGGAGGCATAAAGGAAAGGAATAGCTGGTTGGATAGCTCCATCTTAAGTACCTAGCTGGCCCAAGGTGGAATCTCTATTCCTCTCTGTGTATCTAAGATCCAGCTTATGGCCTTTAGCAAGCTGCACAGTACCAGATCACCCCCCAGAAGAAGGGAACGGTAAACTCCTACTCAGTGCTTTCTACTTAGAAAACACTGAAAAGGTTCACCATAGGTCAGAACTGGCTTGCAGGCACACAGTTGGTATTACTGTATATGGAAAAGAACAGAATTGGTGCTGTTTTTAAGTTTATTCCTGCTATTTATGAGGTACTTTTTTTGGCTTATGAAAAATACAGTTGTATGGTTTTTAATGTGTTGTCGCAGTTGCTTTAATGGTACTGTAGAATGTACAGGATGATATTAACATGAGTGGTTTGGAGGTGATTAACTGTACTGAACTTCAGAAGAGCTGAACTAGAAATTGGACTTAGATCCAAAATATAGCAGCTAATACCCAGCATGTGTGTGCATTTTTTTAAAAAAAACATGTACTATGAGACATAGGAAAGTAGGGTGAAGGCAGCTGTCATGTTTGCACTTTTCTCTCTGCCCCCCCTTCAGAAATCTCCTTTTGGATTAGAAATAGCAAAGCTTTTGTCCATCTTGTGTAGAACTCTGTGCTAACTGGCAGCAGGTCTCTAGGATTCAAGGCAGAAATAATTGTTATGTCTACCCAAAGATGTGAGGGATTGAACCAGAGGTGGTTTGCCTGCAACATAAATTTACAGCTTCCTTAAAAAGTTAGCCTGCCAGATCAAGGCTTAAATTGTTGGAGTGATTTTAGCAGGAAGGTACACTCACTAATATGCCCCACCCAATATCTCCTCTGAAGTATACTGCTTGGTTGTTTTTGATTTGTCTTTCCTGATTTTTTTTAATATTGGCTCTAAGATTTGCTGAAGAATTGTCTGACCTCGTGGTCAAACCACTGAATTAAAAATGTTACCCTGCTTTTCAACTGCTGATAAAATAGGCTCACAGGATTTGAGCAGTACAGCATACTGTACACTGAAACAGCCAGATCTCAACAGCAGCACATGAAGAAGGTAAGCTGGTTGTATGTCAAATCAAATACTGAAGCAGCAATATGCTTGATTAGCTGGTGAGTCTTCAAAGCAGCCAGCAGTTAGAAGTTGGTGGGTATGCAAATGTATAACTCTTCTCATGCCATTCCGTATTTGAGAAGCAGAGAGTGTCTCTTTTGTACTTACCTAGGAAACATCTGAAAGTGAGAAGAGCAAAATTGTTGGTGCTGATCGCAAGACTTTGGCAGGTTTATTGGAGGGGTGTGAATTCACAAGTTATCTCACTCCTGTGGATGTGAATGGGAACCTGCAAAAATGCCGTTCACACCTCTCAAAGAGCAAGATGCTTTTTGTGTGCCTCAGCAGGATTTTTCAATTTATGAGAATAATTTTTACATAAATAAGACAATCTGTGCAAAATGACATTTGTTCTTTGATGGACTTACGAGAATTTGGAAGCATTTGATAATGGCTGGAATTTTTTGTGTTTCTTTTTGAACTATCGCCCACTCCTGTGCTTGCTGCAGACATATTTTCCATTAATTGTGGAGATGGTGGGGGGGATTCTTTTCACACTTACACTGGAGGCAAGACATCTCATGTGCCTTGAAGATTCCTTAATGTGTCATGCCAAGGGATGAGTGATGAGACACTAGTGAGTGCAAGGTATTCCTGAACTCTTGACCTGTCTGTGTTCTATTTTTCAAAATGTTGATTTGGAAATGTCATTGTCCATATTGCAATGTAATTAAGAGCTGGATTTGATTAATATGTTCTTCTTTCACTGACGTCCAAACAGCAAGACTAGGCTGGAGGGGGGGAGGTTCTTTGCCAAGGTCACATAGCAGTGACTGCGCTCGTGTTTCAGAGTAGGACTCTTGTCTTCCAGCAGCATTGAAAGTGTCCTGCTCTTGCTGGCATTCTTCCATTTTATTGTGCTAAGGAAAGGAGGGAGAGGAGGGGAGTATTTTGTTACAGCACTTAAATGACAGGGTATCTTATCTGTGTTTGCTAGCTCCTGGCTGTACTTGCCATTGTGCCCTTAAAGAGGAAAAGGGGCTCAGCAACTGGTCAGCTTTATAAATGGAGCACAGTATCCTCTTGTGGTTGCTGGGAAACTGGTCAACATAGCAAGGAATAACTCTTTGGAGTAGGGAGATTGCATTGCACTTTCCCTGCAGTTGGTGCCCAGCTGTTACACCTTCATGCATTTATTTTAATTGCTTTGGGGATGCAGGGGAGGGCTGAGGCTAGGAGCCCTAGTCTTCCCCTCTCAAATTGAGAATGGGTAACTGTCACACCCAACCATATTTCCTGTCAGCATTTAGTGAAGACAGGCAATGGTGCAGTTAGGCAACTTAAGACTCTGGACTTCCTGGAGTAGGCTGGGGCTCTTCAGATGGCAATGCATACTATTTAATTTGCAATCTGGTAAACCAGTCTTGCTGCATTTGGGTGCCATTTTCTTAAGCGGAACCTTAAACGTCTGTCCCAGTGGGTACAGGCAGGTAATAGTGAATGAGGTTACCTTGTCAAATAACATAGAAATAGACAGCTTGCAGAATCTTTAATGGCATTTTCTGTATATCCAAAATTATTTTAATCTGTGCCTAAGCCCTTTTTCAGAAAAGGGCTCTCCTCAAACGTCCCCTCCCACACACACTATTTAAATCAAGGGTAAAAAAACTTGGTTCAGGTTTTCAATTTCATTCATTATCGGGGTTACATTCTAGGGGAGGACAAGGGCAGAGGCAAAAGGCTGTTATCTAAAAAACAGCATTTTAAGCCTGAAGCTCTTTGTGCCAGTTATCATGTTTTAGGTAACTTTCAAAATTTGAGTGTGGGGGAGGCCAACATAAAATCTTTAAAAACCACCAAATAATGATATCATCAAGCAAGGGGGGTGTCCCTCTGGAGAACTCCAGAGATTGGAATCCCCGGGGAATCAGGTACTTCTCAGGGTCCGGGAGCCTTCCTTTTGACACTTGGCTCATGGCCATGGAACAAGGAAGTGGATGTTTCCCTCTTCTGGTGGGGGGACTGTCTCGGAAAAAGTAAAGCAGCATTTATCAGGAAGAGACCTGTACACATAGCAGCAGCTCCTTCCAAGAAAGCACTGTGGATGTACTGTGTCAGTATGTTCCTAGAACATGATTAATGACACCAAGTGTTTCTTGGAGGCAACTCCTGTTCTTGTAACAGAGCCTGAACAGCAGTTTTCAACTAGTTTTAGCCTTTATGTTGTTTTTTTCTGGGAGTCCTGGAGTTGGGATGACATTCTCCTAGAGATCAGAGGGCAAGGGGGGCTTTGTGAAATAGTGGAATGTCAAAGAACAAAGATGTCTGTCTTTATCCTCATACAATTGCTTTGTTTTAGGGAGAGGAGTTACTGTAGTTGCTGCTCAGTG